TGCGGACAGCTGCATGCGAGGAGGCAAAGGAGGCGCACCGCCGTTACCGGGATACGGGGGTAGTCGATTAGAAAACGACGAGCACGCCGCCAGGTTGCGTCTCAGCTTTATCGCATCGGCCTTCGTGTACATACAAGAGCGTGCCAAAGATCGGTTGCGAGGCATGTATGGCGGTGGAGAGCGACCTCCTTGGGCACTACATTGTCTGTCAGGCAAGTAAGGGTCGTTTGGCACATCGACAGCTCGTTCGGATCCAGCCAGGCTGATATGGTCGACCATGTTGATGCCGTTCACGCTGCTGGTCATCGAGTTGACCACACGTGATGCTATGGAGCGGGAACGAACGTGATGCGAATCGTCTTGAACAGAGCTGCTACGAACTTTCCGGTAACTCTGACTGACAACGTAATGACTGAATGTATCGGCGGTCAACGTATCTAAAAGCCAATTTGCAATAATCGACAAGCATTTACGAAACTACTCGAAACAAAGAAACATTTTAGACCTCAACGTATCACTGTGTCCTATGTCAATGTGTGAACGTGACTCGATAATGCAACACGGCCAATGCGACTACTAAGCTGTTTTTCAAATGGCGCTCATTTCGTTCTAGCAAGTTTTAAGGAAACAGTAATGGGAGAAAACTTTCAATCAAACAAACGCTTATTACGCTGCGAGGTAGAACCAGGTCAACGGATCCGACTGGGATGAGAAAGATGTGAAGCCTTGCAAAATCCGACATGCGACTTTTGTAGTGGAACATAAAAAAAGAGGAAGGTTACAGAATAGTGAACGGTTGAAATAAGGCACTAATGCTGTACAGTGCTATGTTGTTAGGGCACTGCGGAGAGGGAACACCAAAACAAACAAATATAAAGGACTAAACGGAGTACCATTCATCCAAGACCAGATCTAGACGCCCTTCCAGATATTGCATAGCATCTAATACAGGATTTTCACTCGTTTTCATTGCATCTGTGATCCGAAAGGACTGCAAACCGGAAACCTTTATTCTCCATATAGTGCAAAGCCTTTACAATACGAAATGACTGCAGCATGGTTACCTTGATTTTGGATTCATGTCTAACACTAAATTCCTTATTCAATATATTCATTTCGACAACACGCATTTCTGACTAACGAGAAGGAAACGAAATGGCAAACTATTAACTTCCTATAAAGAATGGCTATTTATGAAAGTGTAAGGGAGAACAGCATCTGAAAGGCTACAAAGTTTGTTTTCCCATTCTGCAACATCTTACTTGTTGCCATTTTAGGCAAGTAATTAAAAACTTTGAGAAATTCCAGTTTCTCTTATAAAGTCGAAACTGTGGCATGACTACTCATGCGCATTCAGTGAGATTCTCCATCATTTGCTTGATAATTCTTCAAGCGAAGCATTCACAGAAAAGTTAAGGTGGAAGATGTACTTTCTGTATTAATGGTAGCTTCTGAAAGCATCAACTCTACTTTCGAAAGAATTTGATTTGCATTCAAAAGCATATAATTTTCATATGACATTAGACAACTTGGAAATTCCTTCGTTCCAAGCTTTGACCTATCTAAGATTAATGGGTATACGTTAACAGTTTTCACGGTGAAAATTTGCCATTTACCATCCACAGGTAATTAGAAGCTTCATAACGCGCCATGACAAGACCAGAAGGATAGTGTTCGCCATGCAGGAGGGTAGAAACCAAGTCAACGTAATGGATACGCTGATAACAATAACTAGCTTTAGAAAGATAAACAATGAATTCACGGTACATCGAGAACTACAATCCTAACAAGTAGATATATCCTAAGTCGGCTTCGACCTTGAACTTCAGAAGTGCCGAGTTCGATTCCCGCAGAGAGAAATCTTTGCATTAACTACGAATTATTTTAAGCAAAGGATTTACTTCAGATCTGGGTTACTCCATTTGTAGAGCGTGGAATTCAGAATCGATAGATCATGAGTCTGAGACTCGGTAGAGATCAGTCTCCTATTATCCTTCCAAAGTTAATAAATGTGTACCACTACGATGAACAAATCAGAATGAAACAGAAGGTCATGTTTTTCGTATAGATATGCCAATTCCGTATTTTAAAAATAAGGCACTTCTGGCTGATGACATTGAAATGAAATGGAAGTCCGGGCCCTAATGACGTAAATAGGGGTATTAAAATTGGTTGCATCCTGAAAGTTAACGAAACTCGACACTGACGGCAAAAAATTATTCCTATTTTCCTTTTTGCCAAAAAACTCCATTATTATGGGCTTGCTGGAAAAATTCGAGCTTCAATAGCGTCGGTAAGAATAACATTCTTCTGTCACTACACAGCGTCCCGCTTTATACTCTTTTGCGCCTATGCACTGCAGATGTTAAAATAACGCTGTCGAAGCTTGCTCAAATGGTCCCCTGAGAAACCAAAGCGTTAGATATCATTAATCTTGGTACTTGATTTTGACCCTGATACTCCAGATGACGATTACAGCCGTTACAGATGGTTCCCCAAGGCTGTCAGAAACAAAAAAACGTAACAGGAAAATGTTTTCCTTTAAATAATATTTCAGGTTTTCGACTCTTGGTCCATAGTTATACAGGTCTACGCTATAGACCGTAGGATCATCAGGGATAGGCTACGTACAGTGTTTTCCTTTCAGTAAGTCTCAGAATTTGTATCAAGAACTTAGCCTACAGGGTGGAAGCAGAACATGTGACGAATTATGTACAAAAATCTAGGGTGATAAAAGTATGCAAGAATTTATTAAAATGACAACTTTATACTAATCATAAACCACAAAATGGTCCATCGGTATCATCTGATTTTTAATGAGATCAGACGGCATTTTGAGATTGGAGGTTTTCGAAAATTACAACAAATCGTGGGAAGCACTTTAGGATCAACAAGCGGAAGCAAGAGAAGAGATTAACAGATGAGATGAAAACCAAAAACTGTAACGATTTACACCAGAAGAACTGAAAAAGCTCGAATAGGACTTGCGGAACAGCATGACAGCTTTAGTAAGTCGGAAGAGCCATCATTCTGCGACTGTTTCAATGCGGAACGTTGATTCTGAATTAGGTTAACTAAGAAATTAGGCATATGCTTTTCAGTAGTTCAAGGCACGGAGACATTTAGGCGCTTAATCCAGCACATGGCATTTGTGTCGACAGAAAGGGGCCAAACACCGACAATTTGTAAAAAGAATTGGCACGTTGGCACTGTTGTCTAAGAGATCTGCCTCGAACTCCAACAGTGCCGGGTTCGATTCCGTTCGAAGGCAATTTTTGTCCCATTCACAAATT